AAAATGCGAGGTCGGGGCTCAGTTACTTTCACTCGTCTCATGTCACTCCTAAGTTAAAGTTTAAAGAAACCTGTGAAGCGTAAGGAGAAGGAGGTCCCTGCTGCGCCTCGGACATCGCCCCTGTACTCCCCCGGCAGCTGCCGGGCGCAAGGAAAAGCCTCCAGGCTCCGGCTGCGATGGCAAAATCCCGGGAAAGAAGGACTGGAGGGGTTTAGCGAGAGTTCCCTTCACTTTCTCAGTCTTCCCTATTCATCTGGCTGCACGACGTTGTTGTGTAGGGATGAACAGCCGGCTTTGGGGCAGGTTAAAGCCCATGTTTACTTTATTCCTCGAGGAAAACAATATCTCACATTCACCGTTTAATCTTAATAACCAAATCCAGAACTTTTCGTTTTCAAGTATTTCACCTCGTTCCTTTCTGCTCGCGTTATACCAATTTAAAACGCATTTTTAAATCCAGACTGTTTCCGTGAAAACTAGTTACCCAAAAAAATGTTTTCTAGTCCCATTTGCAGTTCTTCCACCACCACCCCACACCCTCTTGTCATCATTACCAGTTATTGTACTGTGGTCTTCTATACAGAGCTGGAAACAGGTTTCCTTTTTCCCAACCTAAACAGGATCCACTCTGCACTGGAATAAAGCGGAGTTTATGGGTGAGCGGGGCTTATCTCGTCCCGATCGTTGCTCACAGCTTTTTGGGAAAACTGCAGCTTTCGGTTAAGTCACTGGAAGTTTTGCACGAGCAAAAAAATGCCAGGTGATGCTTTGTGCACTGAGATAAACTATTGTTAACGCTAGTTTCATGAGGCAAAAAGGTCTCCCCTGGTCCTTTGATGGATTTTTACAAGGAAAAGAAATGCCCACACGCATTCCATTCACTCTGACGTTTTAAACCAGTAAAACTCTGGATATAATTGCAATTGTAGACAATGCTCTTCGTAAATCTCAACACGCACTAATTTTTCACCAGGGAAGGACCAGTGGGTTTTGTTTTAAAGGAAATGTTCCCCTGGACCTGAGGAAAGCATCCTCCTCGTGTGCTGTCAGGAGATGAGGGAGATTTCGCTGTATGTTTAACAGGAGTAATAATCACCAGCACAGCACCTCCCCACGCTAGGGAGCCGTGGAGGTCCCACTGCACTCAAGAGAGTGTTTGCCTTTGCTTTAAAAACACCTTGCAAATGTTAAACCTTTCTTTTCTTTCTTTTTTTTTTTTTTTTTCCTGCGTGGATTTTTTTTTAATATTTGTCCCATCTGTGGTCGGACGGGGGTAAAAGGATTCTTGCCTCTGAAAATTCGGGTAAGAAATACATGTGCAAACACACACACTTTTTTCATTTTAGCGTTGTTTGGAGGAAGCTCCAAAGTGATTGCGGTCATTTCGTAATTGCTTGAGATTCTGAGGGGTTTTTCGTCTTCATATTAAGGAGAGAGTATAGAGACACTCTTAACTCCTAAACCCCCAGAGATTTACTTCTCCCTGCCCCAGGAAACGTTCACAGGCAGACGGGGGGATTTTTCTGGAAGGGAAATCGGGGCAGCGTTTCCTACGCTGGGACATCGGGATGTGCGGGAAGCAGCAGAGCCCTGCCCTGAGGGGAGAGCGTCGGGAAGGACCGGCCCCTTGCACCGGCTGGACTCTGTTGCAAGGGTTAAATTCCGAAGGCAAAAACAAGGAGCTTTTTTTCTTTTTCCCTTAATTCCTAAAAGCCAGTGGTGGTGTGAGAATGGAACCGACTCCAGTTACGAGCACTTGTGACACGACGTGTGACACAATGTCCTGGTACAGCTTTGCACGGACAGACACACGTCCAGCTACAGGGAGAAAATATGTGTGGATGCCTGTTTACGAGGGAGACAGAGCAAACAAAGGAATTCGGTGAATGTATCGGTCCTGGGGATTATTTAAGACATTTGACCAGTTTCATCATAGGGACACCAGATGTTATTTATGAGGTCTCGTATTAATGTGGGCCATACCATGCAGGTGGGAGGGAAAAGGGGGGGAGGGGAAAAAAGCCAAAGGAAGAATGAAAAGAAAAGAGTTCACCCCAAAGGGATGAAAGACAAAACTGATGTTTATGACAGTATAAATCACGGTGAAGTTTTGTAATGGAAACTAGAACTACCTGGAGTTCTAGGAAGAGAATGGTGTAGGGCAAGAGAGGAGGAGGGAGGGAAGGTCCCTGCTGGTCATGGTTGGAAAAGCAGATGAGAACCCAGCGCGGTGCTGAGCTGGGGTTCTGCTGGGTTTGCTGGGTTACTGCTGCTACTGTTAAACTCAGTTTGGGTTTAACCTGAGCTGCAGCAGATGAGAGAAGAGTAGAAAGACCAAGAGGCAGGGAGGAAGGAAAAGAAGAAGAGAAAGAGAGAGAAAGAGAAAGAGAGAGAGAAAGAGAGAAAGAGAGAGAGAAGGAAAGAGAGAAAGAGAGAAGGAAAGAGAGAAAGAGAGAAAGAAATGAAGAAAAAGGGAAAGAGAGAAAGAAAGAAAGAAAGAGGGAGAGAGAAAGAGAAAAAGAAATAAAGAGGGAGAGAAAGAAAGAAAGAAAGAAAGAAAGAAAGAAAGAAAGAAAGAAAGAAAGAAAGAAAGAAAGAAAGAAAGAAAGAAAGAAAGGAGAGAGAGAAAGAGAGAAAGAAAGAGAGAAGGAAAGAGAGAAAGAGAGAAGGAAAGAGAGAAGGAAAGAGAGAAAGAGAGAAGGAAAGAGAGAAAGAAAGAAAGAAAGAAAGGAAGAAAGAAAGAAAGAAAGAAAGAAAGAAAGAAAGAAAGAAAGAAAGAAAGAAAGAAAGAAAGAAAGAAAGAAAGAAAGAAGGAAAGAAAGAAAGAAAGAAAAAGAAAGAAAGAAAGAGAGAGAGAGAGAAAGAAAGAGAGAGAGAAAGAAAGAAAAAGAAAGAAAGAAAGAGAGAGAGAGAGAGAAAGAAAGAAAGAAAGAAAAAGAAAAGACATCAATCTGATCTTGGCTTGTTCAAGATCACTGGGAAAATGTAGTGAAGAAGAGATCAGCTGGAATATTTCTACTTTCCTGCCACCTCGTTTCCAGAACCCCGTGTTCCAGTGCCCGAGCCCATCCTGGGCACCGCCGGGGCAGGACACACCGCTGCCTCCCGGAGTAGCAAACTTCACTTCGTTGTAAACATATACATATATGTGCTTTGAATTTGCAAGCTTAGCACTGTCGCCTGGGGCCTGGGAAACTCGGGGTGAGCCCTTCCTCCGTTCGTCGGGTCCCGTTTTAAAGGGAACCCTCGATTTCCACAAGCAGGTCGTTCTGCAGAGTTATCAAAGAGCTTTCCCCGATGCATTTGTTTTGGTTTAGTTTGGGGTTTTTTAATCCCCTTTTTACATAAGTGTTGCACAGTTCTTGGACAACAGAGAAACTTCCTGGTCTCCCCCTTTTCCCCCCAAACAACCTCCTCTCAGACTCCACCGGGAGCGGCGAGGGCTATTTTGAAAGGTTTCATGCAAAACATGTGCTCTACTAAAAATAATACCATCGGTGCGATGAAAACAAAAGCAAACAAAACAAAGTCCAAAAGCATGGCATACCGCCTGGCTTTGGGGAAACAGCTCCAGCGCCGCTGCTATTCCCAGCCCACCGGCATCCTCGCCCTACACCTGCCCGCAGTTGGGTCAGAGGCGTTGAGGAGAGGAGGTTTGGGGTTCCCCCACTCGCCACCCTGCAAAGCCCCAGTGAAAAGGAGGAAAGAAAAAGGCGGGGAGGGGAAGGATTCCCTCTGCTCTTTTCTCGCGGCTCCGCTGCTCCCCCACCTCGTTTTCCCGCTTCTCGGACCCCGGGCACTGCTGCTCCCGTCCCCCCCATCCACCCACCCACCCGCCTCCTCCATCCCGGGCCCCACGAACTTGCTCCGGGCGTTTTTGCCATCACACCACGGAGAGAAAGTAGGTCACGGCTGAGTCCAAGCCTGGCGGAAGCCGAGGCAGCCGAGCCTCGAAAGCTTTCCCATAGAACACACTTTGGGGTCGTCGTTTGCAGTGTTGTTTGGTTTAGGTTTTTTTATTATGATGAAGATGATGATTTATTTTGGACACCTTGGGCGATCAGCTGAGCCGGCTCCTGTAGTCCAAGCTGGAAGGAGAGGGAGAAGGGAGGTAGTTTGGGAGATGGAGGTGGGGCTGGATTTATTTTCTTGCTATTCCTCCATCCCCTCCTAGAGAAATATTAAGTTGCAAAAACCGATCCACCGCCTGTTAGGGCTCCTGCACCTCTGTCTGCCCTCTCCAACCACCGCTCTCTTAAAAACCAACAGATAAACCCCAACCCAGACGAGCCTTCAGAGCGGGTATTTAACTGAAATAGTTCGCCGCAGTAAAAGCGAGGCTTTAAACCGGTTTTCCACCCTCAGGGCTCCCTGTTTGAGCACACGCATGTGTTTGTTTTCAGGGTGACTGTGCGCAGGGTTAAAATCGACAGTCCTTTCCAGGAAAAAAAAAAAAAAAAAGTGTTGTCTATAATACCAGTAAAAAACAATTAATTAAAAAATCCTGAGGCCTTAATCTGCTCCCCCTCCTCCTTCCCCCAACCTCAGGGTAAACCCCGAGTCACTGCGGAGTGGCTCCGGGTTCGCCCTGGGGATCCGGTTCTCCCCTCAGCTCCGCGGCGATTACAAACCTAAATAAAGGCGACTTGGGAACGGAGGGGAAGGGAGGGGGGAAGGTGGAGAAAGGAGTTTTCGCTGGAATATTTTCTTTTGTTAGTTGCTGGTGCTGCAGGTGGAGACCCAAAGGTAGAAAATAATCCCGCATTGTGAATACGAACATATCCCGATCTCTATATAAGAGTATATATAAATATACATATATATACACACACATCCAGGTATACAGAAATGAAATGTACAATAACAGTAACACAACAATGGGGTCAAAAAAGTTTGCTGATATTTCAGGCTTACATAACATTTTCTTTTAATGGCTTATACTTTAGAATGAAAAAGATTTACTCCTAATTCAGTTGGTAAAAGCAAAATGAAACGAAAGCTCACGTTAACATGACATGAGGTTTATTACAGGTCTGCTTAGAATGAGGAGGTAAGAGTGGGAAAAAATATGGACACTTTTGAGTCAGACAGAAATAAAATACCAACATTTCTGAGAAGCAATATTTATTGTCTTTTTTTTTGTCTTTTTTTTTTTTTTTTTTAATGTAGAGACATATCCTGAATTTCCCCAAAGCCTAGAATGGGAAAATAAAGACTTATTGGCGTTATAAGTAAATCCGTCTGCAGAATCAAAGCAGCACCAACATTCAAAAAAACTGAAGAGGAAAATACAACAAAACACAACAATCTCTTTTTTTTTTATTCTTATTCTTATTATTTATGTAAATCAGGTCATCACTGGACAAGAAACCAATTTCTACCCATTACCATAACAGCTTGTCTATAAAGACCAGAAAAGATTCAGATAGGATACTATCTAGTCAAGCGGGATATTTTTTTTGTTGGTTTTATTTTTTCTTTCTTTTTTGTTTGTTTTTTTATATACTTTTTGTTTTTAAATTCCCCCACCCATTCACAGAGGTATAGAGTCACAGATAAATAACCCAAAAACTACTTGCTCGCCATATTTACACATTCCCGTTAAATTAAGCATAAATAAATATATACAAACTCAATACTGAATGCCTCTCCGCATTTCTTCTCAGGAAGAGTCGATAAACTGATATTTCTCACTGCATGGTCAGATTTTTCAAGAAGAGGAGGTGAAAAGGATCGTTTGGGGCATAAAAGGAGAATTTATTATTTTTTCTTTCATCTTTCCAGTTTCTCATTTGCTTTTTCAGAGCTTTGCATTTGTTGGGGCTTTTTTTTTTTTTTTCTTTATATCTCGCTGGCACACAGTGTTTCGTCTCTCTCTCAATGTTCAGGCGTTTGCCAGTGTGTTTGGGGATGTTTTCTTTTATTTTTTTTCCCTTTGTATAAGAAAATATACTATTTGTAAAAAGCCTACGGTCTCTGACACAGGGAAGCCGGAGGGGAGGGGGAGGTTGGCCGGATCGATCTGGCAACGCTTACGGCAGATGAAACAAGCACCAAATTCTCCGAGAAACGCATTAAAATAGAGCCGGACAGGTCTGTATGATAAACCGGTCAGAAAGAGATGAGCAGGGAAAGGGAATAAGCCCTTTGGGCACAGCTGAAGGTCTTAAAACCATCCTTCCCCCCCTCCTTCCCGGCCCCAAATGCAAATTTGGGGATTTGGGGAGAGGTTGGTCTGGGATGCAAAGGGACTTTAAACAGCTTCTCACAGAGAATTTCTATTAGGTGGGACAAGACACGACCCGATTTTAAAGAAATCATCGGGTTGTAAAAGGATTCCCATAAAATTGGCTTCTTGTTTCCTTCACATCTTGTATGAATAACAACCAGGAAAAAAAAAGAAAAGGTCAGGGAGCGTACAAAAACAAAGATCTTTCCAACGGCAAATAGAGAATAGCTATTTAAAAAAAAATCGAGACTGAGAATGAAATAAAATTTACAGCAACCCACCTGTTTGGTTTGAAAACAAACTTTTCATGGTCTCTCCTCAAACTTTTCCCTTGAGTTACAAAGCAAAGCTGCCGTGTTAATCCTCCTGTTTATTGATTTATGATCCCGAGGAAACCAAATCTTTTAATAACTCAATTATCAGATAAACGTCTGAGGTGCCCCGCCAACACAAGTAGTCGGGCTGGGAAAGTGGAGGGGAGCAGGAAAATGCCTTCCAGAGGGAGGCTGATTTAGTTTGGGGGGGACATCTCTCTCAGCACTGATAGGGGCCACCAAGCAATGGATATTTCCCTCTGGAAGCAGCACTAAGCCAGAGGGAAAACAGAGATATGTGCTTCTATGTCATGTTTTCTCCCTGTTTGCATTTCAATCGCAAACCTCATGGATTTTGTCTCCGGAATTTGGCTTTATTTTGCCTGAGTGATGCACAGCCTGACACGTGCAGTCTGTCTCTTCCAGGTAGAAGGCACGAGAGACAGATTGAAACTCTTCCCTCAACCTGCTCAACATTTAAGTCCTGATCCAGGTGACCAAACCTGTGCCTAGGGGAGATTTCAATAGCAGCAGGATGAGGCCCTCACACGTGCAAGCAGGTCTTTCCCCAAGAAGTTCCAAAGGTTCCCTCTCCTCATTAACTCACAGGTGGTGGTGGGATAACTGCCTTCTGCAGTTAAAAGGAGCATTCCCAATATTTCTCCCAAAGACAAGGGAAGACCACCCCAACATTCCCTCAGAGCCTTCAGTTGGAAGCTCTGGGGTGGCAGGGAGCAGGTCCCCACGGGCCTGTGTGTGCAGCTGGGGAGGTGGAAGACTGAGAGCCAACTTGGGGGCTCCCCACACCCACCGGGTGATTCTGGAGGGCTGGACCCAAAAAATCCTGTATGCAGAGGGCAGACAAAGCAACAGCCAGCACTTTGTGCTCTACTTCAATAAACAGGATATTCTCATCAGGTAGAGAAGGAAGATGTGCTTTGGGGTGGTGCCATTTGTTCCTCCCCAGATACACACACATACCCTCTCCCTGTCCCACACATCACTGTTGGGACATGCCCTGCACTTGAGTCTGGATTGCCCTTCCCTAGAAGTCTGATGAAAGTGGAGGTGGTTGGCAAGGGATAGGTTTTGGAGGACTGGGAGCTGCCTGGGGGTTGCTTTTCAGTCTGGGAGTCCCCAACCTGCTGGTGAGGGATCCATGAGGATTGACTACCACACCTCCTCTGGTGACATCCTCAGGGCTGTGCCAATCCCTGCCACAACCAAACCCACTGGCAGGGACATGCCAGGGTCTAAGGATACCTGCAACTCATCCCAACAGCCCATGGAGAAGGCTACCAGCCTCAGTTCCCCCATTTTCTCACAGGAGATCCCCTATAGCACTCTGCCCCAGAAGAACCAAAGGTCCATGAGCGAGGAGCAGCTCCACAGGGGTCAGTGCTCTTTGGAATTAGATGATTGCTGGGTTTCTGTTGCCACACACATGCCCAAATCACAAATAGAGAACAAGAGCTGAGACCTTGCTGCACAAAGATATGAAAAGCAGGGCAGGCCCTCAAGTGTAACCGTGTCTCAGGGAGCTAAGGACACTAAGGATGACAAGAGGATTGTTTGCTTTAAGAAAATTCTGTTGAGGGATGTTGAGAGTATTGCTGAATTGTTTCTCCCCCACCATCCACTTTGGAAGGTATCTAGAAATTAAAGCAAGGCTAAGGCTTCTCTTTTATTTCTCTCTCTCTCTCTCTTGTTTTGAGTTCAGGTGGGCCTGCTTGGGGTGGTGGGATTGAGTCCTGCAGCTTTAACAGGGATCATGGGGGGAGGCCTGACCCCACTGGAGTTTTGCCAGTGACTCCAGGAGGTTTTACCCACACCCAGTAACTGTTCTGACATAAGCAAAAAGATGTGTTAGTGCACGAACCCTACCCCACTGAGAAACACATGCAAGTACCCGAGACAGCAGAATCCAAACAGAAATTCACATCCTTACACTTCAGAGTTATTTTTACCAGAGAAGACAAAGAAATGTATGTTAAAAAAAATTAAAAAAAAAAAAGAGAGGAAAGAAATAAGAATTCCCCTCCACCCTCATCAGCCCAAATCATATGCATAAGACATCCTGTCAGACACCAAACCACCAAGAAAAACATTGGAATTAAGAAGTTTTTTTCCCCCCTTACCACACCGACTTGTTCAAAAGCAAAGAGTCACAAGACATTTTTTTTTTAAAAGCTTTCTAAGAGAACCAGATTTCCTCAAACTGAGCTCAGAAATCAGGATATTCCCTGGTAAACCCTCCCCGCTCCCATCACAAGGAGTCAGCTCACATGGCAACCCTTTCCTCCCTGGGTACAAAACCCTAGTGCCAAGCAAGTGCGGTAACATTCAACACAGCTCTTATTTTCTTTGCAACAGTACACCTCGATTTCAACTTATATTTTTATCTCATTCAAATTATTCCCTTTGAGCTTCTTTAAAGAAGTGCACCTACAGAATTCGGTAACAACTGGCTTTGATTTGAAAAAGCAAAAAAAAAAGCAAAAAAAAAAAAAAGTATCAGAATATCAGAATTGTGGATTTTTTTTCTCTGTACCTGATATATTGTGTAGGGATCTCTAGTCCTCTTTGAAGAAGCTCATAAGCCAAGCGGGCAAAGCTTTAGGAAACAGAAGAAAATAAAATAGTGCATACTCCTGAGAAAGAATTACATACTCATATCACTCATTTTTTGTTGTTGTTAACAGTTCTTTAAAAATGAGGGAAGATATCTCTCACACACACTAGTCAAGGAAATTAAGGACTGAAACATTGGCATAGTTAGGAATATAAAACTCCCTAGAGAAAAAGAGGAGATCTCAGAAAATAAAGAAATCAGATAGTGCTGACATTTTACCAGACCTTACTTCCAGATTTTGCAACCCATTTATAGACAAGGCATTTTACCATCAAGGACAAGTACTAAATTACAAAGGTATGTTTGCATGCATTAATATGTGCGGCTCTACACACATATTTTATATATATATATATATATATATGTATATATCCACATATATACATATATATACACAAACATACACAGCATTCACACACCCCCCTGAGGAGGTGTGTGTGCACATCCACAGATGCACACACAGAGGCACACACACACCCAGACACGCCTGTAAACTCTGGTCATCTAAACAGAGAGTCTGTCTAGACCAGGAAAAACAAAGCAGTTCTTAAAAAATAGAGTTGGCTAATTCAGCTGAGCTACAGTGACTCGAAACTCCCCTTCTGGTGGCACCTGAAGTTAAGATGCTGCCATGAAAGCAGCTGGTTGATGGCTTGGTGAGGGGTCTGTGCGCTCACCTCCCCTCCTTTCCTAGTCTAGACAGAACCAGGGTGGTGAGATGAGATGGGAAGAGTTGGGGGGAATGATGGGGTTGCTCAGAAAGGAACACTCTGGAAGATCATTTTAGTCAAGGTGGAGACAGGACGTTGTTGAAAACAAAAAAAAGAATAAAATAAAAAAAAAAATAAAAGCAAGACAGACTGTGCAGCTCAAGAAATCAAAGCACTGACACCAAAAAGGTTTCTGCGATTTCTTCCAATAAGTTATTCATTTCTTTCTTTTATTATTATTATTAATTATTATTATATTCCCCTCCCCCCCAAATCATTATTTAAAAAATGTGAAAGAACAGAAGTGGGAAAAAAATCCTGGTGGTTGTCTTCACACGTTCCTGGCAAGAGACTCTGAACCACTGGTCTTGCGCCATTGTGCTCCTCTGATCTTAAATTATTGTCTTTCTTTATTATTGTTTTTATTTTATTATTATTATTTTGTCCTACCTAATAGAATTCTTCCAAAGCCCAATCCAGTATTTTTAAAGCTAAAATTAAGAAGGTTTTGTTTTAAAAGATTCTCTCTCTTTTCTCCTCTTATTTAACTTTTTTCTTTTTTCTTTCTCTCTAATTTTTTTTCCTCTCTCTCTCTCTCTCTCTCTCTCTCTCTCTCTCTTTCTCTCTCATTTTCTGTGTTTCTCTTCCTTGTCTCCAGTTTTACTACCTGGTCCTTCGCCAGATGTGTGCCTGTTAGCAGTGTTGTTGTTCAAGAACATCTTGTCCATGCCTTTGAGAGCTTCAGTCAGGTAGTTTTGGAGGGCCGTGAGGGCAGCGCAGATTGCGGGGGCCCCAAAGCCATGAGTGATGAGGCTGAAGTGAGTCAAGCAGCTCTGAATGCCCGGTTCCAAAATAGGGGTGGGCCGGCTGTTCCCAATGGGCGTCCTGTCCTGGGCCAAGAGATCTGTGAATTCTTTACAAAGTTGCCTGCAGGAAAGAGAGAAAGCCAAAGAGAGGAAGGGAGAGAGAGAAAAGTGGTCGTTAGGCTCGTCCAACCATTCTCTGTGACAACCAAGGCTGAAGGAAGGGGCAGGGTCAGGCCAAAGCTGATCTCAAGACACAAAATGGGACCTTTCTGTTGCCTTCCTTTCCCAAAACTGTTTGAGGACCAGCTATGGTGAGCCAGCAGCTCAGAATGATGTTCTTCAGGGGAAAGGTTTTTGCATTTGCAGGATAACACCAGATCTGGACATAAAAATCTCTCCAGCAGCCACAAGGATTTTCCCAAAGAACTGTGAAAACCCAACTCTGCTTGGTGGCTCTAGAAACAACCAGGAGGAAAGGGACATGTGTCTTGGGTCTGCCAACCACCCATCCTCCTGAAGGCCTGACTGGTTCAAAGCAGCTCCCACTGGTGGTGTTCCCAAAGGAAAGCACAACCATGCACTGAGAGCTGCTGGCTGCACTGGCACCTGGTGCAGGGAAGGGCCAAAACGGAGCCTCCCCTGACACTGCTGAAGCTGGGCCACCTTATTGAGAAAAACCAGGACTGTGGGACTCCATGATTGCTTATTCATGGCATGAGGAACAAAGTGAGCACTTCTAATTTTATTTTGGGGGGGGGTGACACCCCAATTAACACATCAGAGTCGACATCTGGCTCATGTTTGTTTGCCTGCACCTTTGAAAAATCAGGTTCGACTTTTCTAATGAATTCACACACACACACACTTTTGCTTTACTCTGGTCCACAAGACCTTCAAGTCAACAAGTGCCTGGGCAATGTAGAAATCCTGGGGGCTGGTGGGGTTCCCAAAGGAAGAGTTTCTTTAAGGGTTCCCAAAGGAATAGGGTTTTTTTTAAGACAAATGCCTACCCAGGGACTGGAGGGGGGGGAAAAAAAGGCCAGAATTCAAAAGAGAAAAAAAAAAAAAAAAAAAAAAAAGAAAAAAGAAACCCTTTAAAAAAGACATTCAGCTCTCTTCCTCTGAAATTCTCTGAAATTCCCAGTGGGTTAAAGGTTTCAGAGGGTGGGGAAAGAAAAAGGTCTACTTCTATGTGTATTATCCATTAAGAAAGTGCAAGAGAGGAAACTTTGAATTTGGAGAACAAACAGTAATGAGTCCAACATTTTACATCTTCAAAGAGCAAAGCAGGGTCTGCGAGCAATTAAAGTTCTGGGACATTAATATCTTCTGACCCTGCGGAAAGGGCAATCAAATTCCAATCACGTCTAAGAAACATCTGGACAAATTTGAGCAAATGATTTTTCGACCCTCCATATATTTCTTTAAATTACACTGTCATCGGAGGCAGGGCACGTCCCAGAGCATGAAATAAATGAGAACTGTTTGGGCTGGTATTTTTCTTTCTTTTTTTTCCTCTTTTTCTTTTTCCAGATAGATGAAGATGTGTGAACACTCAGCACCCACTGCTGAGGACTCGAGCAAACCATGAAGCCTCCAGTGAGTAGCCTGGGAGGCACAGCCAAGTGTAAATCATCACATACAGCACATCCACTGAGGAAGTCCCTAGGGAGAGAGATGGCTTGGAGGGGCCAAACCAAGAATCATTAGCAGTACACGGTGTTGTTCTTCCATTTTTTCTCCTTTTTTCCTCTTTTTTTTTTTTTTTAAATATATATTTTTTTAATTAAATCACACGGAAAAGCCATTGCAATTTGGTAGCAGACAGACAGGTGCGTGTGAGCAGCAGGAGGAACAGACAGACATGCAATGGAAGCAAAATATAGAAGGTTTTTTTTCCCCCCCTTTCCTTTAACTGGGAGTGGCTTGGAAATGATGCACAATAGATAGGGAACGGTCGCCTACAACCTCTATAGGGGCAGAGTCTGCTGACAGGATTCCCACTGCAAGGGGATGCAGAGGTCCGTGGGGCGATAGGAGCATCCTTCTTCCCCGCGGGGCCACTGGAAACTCCGTCTGCTTTCCCCTAGCAGCGAGCTCAGAGGAAGGGTTTAAGGAGGGGAAGGGCAGAAGGGGGGTATTTAACTTCACACTCACTTTGTAGCAAGCAGCATGTTTTTCCTGGAGTGGAGGTCGCTGGGGTCCGTGTGCTGTCTGTTCAGGTATTCAGAAACAGCTTTGGCTGGGAACTCCGTTTCACAGATGTACCCAAAATCCCGAGCTAAATGAACGGCCTCACCTGAAGGGAACGAGAGGGGGATTAACACCTCCGAGTACCGCCGGCCCCGGGCTGGGCTGGCTCCGACCTGCCCACCGCTCCCCTGGGAGACACCAGCTCCTTCGAGCCGTGTTTGGAAAGCTAATAATATCCCTTCCACCTTAGGGACAGGCTTCATAGCATCCCTTCCACCTTAGGGACAGGCTCCAAGTATGTGTTTTCCCTCCACAAGTCCTAATTTGGGGACAGAAGTTGATGGGACAGATTTTGAGCTGATGAGATTTGTTTTTGCTACAATGGTTGTGCAGAACACAGGGGAAAACATATACACCACTCACACACAGAAAAAAACTTTAAAATTAGCAGGGCCAAAAAAAAAAGTAACCAAAAAACCACAAGGGAAACCTGGAGAATCCTGAAAGATTAAAGAACTCAAACTCCTCTTAAGAGCGGAGAAACCATTCCTATTTCAACACATCAGATCATTGTCCAAAACTTCACAGATGTGGATACAGTGTGAATATAATGTTAATTCTTTGTGGGACATTATATACACACTTTATGCACACAGAGTACTTGCATCATTATCACAGTTAGTGCCACATTTATAAAATTATGGAGATAACTGTATTTAGCCCGATGGCAATTTAATAATCTGCATTTTTAACTGACCATCATGTAACAGGAACTCCTCTCTGCCCGGTGGAAAGAAAACAACTAATGGGAACTTTTTCTGTGAAAAAAAAAATAATTATTATTCTAACTCTAATTCTAATTGTCATTTTTCCTGCCTGCCTAGTTTCAGGTTTCTTGCCTCCAGAGGTTTGTGTCATCCAACTCCTACTGGTGTACTTCATGCCACAAGAAGACAGTAGCTGCAGAAAGGAGGAAAAGAGGAGGGGAAAAAAACCCCTCAGACTCTAGGGGGATTCCACCAGATTATAGCTCAGCCCCTCTAGAATAAAGCATTAAACCCTTTAAAGCATCGCCTGAGGGACGAGGGGGAAGATTTCCAACACGTAAAACAGGTATGTCTAATAACTCCAGGACCACATTATTTTTAACTATCAGGAGTTGCTTTTCAACGTCATCTCCTGCTTCTCAATGCTTCTCGCTAATGATCAAACCGGTTAATGAAGGCGAGAGCACCCGGGAGAGCCTGGAAGTGGGATCCCCGCGCCGGGAAGAGTCCTCCCGGGCAGCGTTAGGGCAACAGAGGCGGAGACCGACCGGACCATTCCTGCTCCTGGCGATACAGGAGCAGCAAAAGCCTGGCTGGTGACAGGGAAAAAAAAAAAGAAAAAAATTCAAACTCCATCAGGTGCAGCTTTTTCCAAAGGGAGGGATCTCCCTGAAGGTAAACTGTTGATTTGTGAGGGAATCAGGGGAGAGCACAGGCGTGTACACCTTGCTGCACATTTGACATAGAGCTCAGCGGCACTACATAAACCCACCAGCTTCTGAACCTCACAGCAGCCTCGGAGAGGGGCTGTGAACTGGGGGTTCACACACACAGCGGGGGCGAAGCTGCGCTAACCCGGGCGCCAAAGGGCACTTGTCACCCCCGAAATACTTCACATCTCCTACAGCGAGACCCTATATCCTGTATCCGTAACCTACACTGTGCCTTGCTCGGCATCACCTCCACGCGGGTACCAGGAGGAGCTCCTGCCTCTCAGGCTCAGTGTTTTTACGAGCCTTCCTTCAGCTCTGCACGCGGTAAAAGGTCTTATCGCCCCCATAACTCAATCAAAAGAGTTGAAAAGTTAGTATCTAGCACAAATATTTATGCACGCTCACATGCAGGAGAGATAAGTGGATTATTTATACGCCTCTCGGTGTGTATGTGTAGTGCAGATACATAGAATTTATAATTGCATCCATACTATTCCGGATAGGTTTTTTTTGGAGAAGGTCCAACTTCTCTTAGCATAAACACGCACATATCCTAAACTTATTAGTGACTCTAAATTTTCCTTCTCGGTACAGTAACAACAAATCAAAGGCCACCAAAATACCATTAGCTGACTTGAAATGAGTTGAAACTTCAGTTTCCCCTTCCCTCTCTCCTTCCTCGGAAATAGCTGGTCTCTTTGTTCAGCTCCAACCACCTTAAGCGAAACCGAGCTCTGCGAGTCTTAAATTGCTCTGATTTCTTACAGAAAAAAAAAATTGTATTATTTTTCCCTATTGAGCATCTTGTAGCGGCTATAAATCAGCTCGGGAGGAGCGAATTAGCGAGAGGATGGAGTAGGTGTGGAGTCGGAGGGCATAGACTGGAAAGGAATAACAACGAGGAATGGGACTGCCCTGCGGAATTACACATACACATACAGGTACACACACACGCACAGGCATAGACACACTCCTTCATTCTTGCCACCAAGAAGGATCAATGATCCTCCAGCCAGTGACTTCAGTTTTGGGAATGGGATCCTTCATCGTGCAGGTGTTTCTCCTAGCCCGCCCTGAGTTTCACCTCTGCAAGGTTTTCCCACCTGATCCCCAAAGTTGGTGGTGTTTCTTTCTTTTTGTTTTGAGGGTTTTTTGGTTGGTAAAATGTCAGACAGGAGTTCAGAGCAGGCAGGGGTGTGAAGGGAGCTGCGACCCTCGGCTTACCTTCCACCAGGGAGGTGAGTAAAGTGACATTTGCGGCCTTACGCCTGCCGGCTGGTAAATTCAAACCGATTTTTTCTAGCCTTTCTCGCAAAGATCTCCCCCCGTTTTTCGATTTGGCTCTAGAATTGCAAAGAAATTAACATCGTGATTAACCCCGCAGTGTTCCTGGAAGAAACGTTTAGTCTGTGCAGTCAGCGGAGCCTGGGAGGGTTTTCCCTCGACGTCAAGGATTTTGGGGGTGTTGATTTCTGCTCGGCTTTGCTGAGATTTGCCTAATTTCTCCCAAGGGTAGAGGTGGGGATGAACCCACTTTTCTCCCTGTTTTATCCAGGGAAATCAAATAATGCCAAACAGCAATAATTAACGGAACGGTCCCGATCTAGAGAACAAATGGGTTCCTGTTGTATGACGCCAACTTGCATTACGATAGAGGAAAGGGATGGGCAGAAAGGTAGAGGAAGATTCAATCACCTGGTTTTTTTCCCTTAAAGAGACAGAACGGGAAGAGAGGATAAAAAAAAAAATCGGAAAAGCTCAAAGGGAGAATGTGTGCGCCTGTGGATAAATAGAAGAGGAGGAAAATATTTATTAAACCATTTCGCGCACGCGTGTGTGTGTTCTTGTGCGGGAAGGCGATGCTGAGAGGAAGAGCTCACCTGAGGCAGGGGGTGTTATATAGAGGGAATAGAGGGAATAGATTGCCTGGGGAGAGATTTGAGTATCTGTCGGAGGTTACTGATAAGGGCAATAAAAGGATGAGTGAGCTATGGGTGGGAAATTCAGAGCTATTGTTCGAACGCCCATACATATGTAAAGCCTCAGGGATGAAATCTTGCCACCTGCGAAGTCCGGGAGAGTTTTGGCACCTAACAACAGAGTCTGTCCCAACTATCTCTAAGTTCTTTACTTAAAATTTGTTTAAGAATTAGCAGTCACACTTAGCGAAAGGAAATCAAAAGCTACAGAGAAGACAGACTGGCATCTCACTATTTTATATCAAAGTAAATCGGACTGGATGGCAGAATTGTAAGAGAGTAGCTTTTTATATTTCATCTGCTCTGAACCAAAAGCTTGTCTAAAATTTAGATTCGAGATAGGAACTGAAGTCAGCAGCAGCCAATGGTTACGGCTTGGGCCACCTCCAGAAATCCACTGAAGTTCAATAATAATGTTTCTTTACCTTGATAATTGTATTTTCTACAGGGTATCTCTCAGATGTTCTCCCTGCTCCATTTATGGTTGCGCAGAAGGAGCAGGAAGGTTTAGCATCTGTAAGTAAAAGTCTCTGCTGCTCTCACTGGCAAGGCTTGCAGCTGAACAATGATTACAGACATTCACGTGGAACTGCATCTATTTTAGGAGATCCTGATTCTCGTGTGTGTGTTTGGGTGACTGACTGCACGGAAAAGAACTTTCCCTCTCATCTCCAGACATGGAGCCAGAGACCCCGACGACATCAGGGGGTGGTAAGGGGGGAACCCCAAACATAAACTGCATTTTAAACCACCTTAGACTCATCATATCCCAACCGTGGCTACAGGAGTTGTCAAGATATTTTCTCCTCTAGGATTAGCAACTTTTAAACATGATCTGAAATTTATTCACTGTCAATTTATATGAATTTGTTCCTGTCTAAAGTCTGTTCCTGTCTAAAAGTCCTACTTTTCTTACCAGTTTGGTGTCCACCTCTCCCACAGAAAATGAAGTCTTATCTCCTGTCAGTCTGAGTGGGTGAACTGGTACCTCATGCTGGTACCTCATGACTTCTTCTCTGTTCTGAATGGAGACAGAGCTTTGGCTCACCTTTCTTACAGCCAAGTCATACTGACAATTCACAGTCCCTCAGTCCCTGCCAAGAAGAAAAAAGCCTTTCCCCCTCTTAGTATTTCCAGTTAATGACCTCAGAGCTTAAACTCTTTTTTCTTTTAGATAAAACCACAATCTCCCATTTGATATGATCGAGTGGCAACAAGACCTCCCCATTTTCCTCAGCACCGATATTTTGCCAAATATTTTGAGGTCTTCAGCAAAATCCACCAGGATTTTAGTGGTGATTTGCACAAATATTAAACAGCAAAGGCCTCGAGCCCAGCTGTGAGTGATTCCTCCAGCAACTTTCTCTGCATGAAGCACAAAGTTTCTGACTTTCAGAGCTACCTGTTGATGACTTTTCTTTAGTCAGGTACTTCTCTACCTTACCCTGCCTATTAGTTCCCTGCCAATCTCAATAATGTCTTGTGTGACAACAGGTCTCATAACTGACATAATTGTCTGACTGCTATTGCCATACAGAGAAAACCTCGTGGATTTATCCAGGAAATCCCTAGAAATGCATCAAGTTTTCAAAAACCTCCAGTTCACCCTGAATCACATCCAATGTGGCATTTTATATTGCCCACTTTCTAAGAGAGAAGTGTGAGTAGGTGAAAAGGTAGAAATTCTGTTCATATACAAAAGCAAAAATCTTTCTTGTCTCAGTTCCTTGATTTGCGAGCAAACAGGGCCAAATCTTTCTCTGCTGTCCATACATTCATCTCAATGTCTGAACACTGATTATCTTCACTTTATCCATAAAGTTACACACACAGGCTATAACAATAAGGTCAATGCATATTTGCAATCATCTTTACTGTTGACCAAGTATTTCTGGTGTGTGCAGGGAGCCCCCCATGCGGTCATCTTCATGCCTCTTACCTTCTAAGGACTCCTCCTAGGAGGGATGCGTTCAGACACTCTGGAGGGGAAAGTCGCCTCTGAACTTCTCCCACAGTTACTTTGTACTTTGAAGTTGAACTAAGCAAAGACAAGCGGCCGGGGACAGAGCAAAACACCTCCCCGGTGTTGACTGAAATTCCACCCAGGAAGCCATCTTTATTCATCATCAAAGAAGTAACAGATTTTGGAGGAACCGGAACTGGAGAAAGAAAAGGGGAGGAGGGGAGAGAGAAATCATCACGCCACGAAGGAGCACGGGATAACCACAGTCTCTCTGACATGCACAGAACATCAAAATGAAAGGGAATTTTGAAACTCTGGCTACCTCCAGCAACCTAAAGGGTGCTGCTCCCCCAACCTCTAGGAAACTGCTCCATGAATGATGGATGGAGAGAAGGGTGGTACAGTACAGCCTCTATGCAGGGTTTAATCATTGGGAAATAAAATACATATTGGCAAGCACCTGGCAACTTTCGGGTTTGAGCCTGTGTCTCACCCAGAGCCCCCCGATGCCTTTTGTACAACGGACAGCGCCTTTCTGGAGGGGAAAAAAAGAGGAAAATTTACTTTTTTTTGGCTAATGTTTCCATTACTGCTAAGCTGAGCCAGGAATAAATGCAGCACACGAAGGGAGTTGCTGTCTTAAATAAGTATAAAGGCTGGAGGATACAGCAACGAGAAGGCAGCTCTGTTATTGCTTTGTGTTTTTATTAAGTCTGGTTTATGAAATAAAATGAGTCTTTTCCTTTAGAAAAATGAACACCAGGAAAAAAATATCTGGTCCTACCATGGTGTTCTCCACTCTGACCATATTGTGCTGTCCGTGAATTACTGGGAATTCTCCCGCCCCTAAATAAAGCTGTTTTAGTTACTGTAACATATATTTAAAGGTAGTTATAGGGAAAAATAAAAAGAGGACGATAAAGTGAAGCTAAATAAAACAAAACCGTGTTGCTCTGCCTAAGATAAAACGAAATATTTCTTTTCTCTGAGAAACCAGTGAGGTTATTTTAAGAGTAACCAAGGGGATTATAATGAACAAATTCCTATAATAGCAACCAGACACACTCAGAAATAAACAAAAAAATTGGCTAAACTAAAACGGAGAGCAATTCCCCCGTGACATGAGTTTTGTTTACAAATGAACTTAAATAGCTCTCTCATAATTGTGTGTAACTGTTATGATTTACAGCAGGTGCTCTAATCAATCACCCAATCACTTTAATTTATAGGGAGCCTCACTGCATTTTCCCAGTTGTTTCATTTCTGCAAGTAATTGATAACAAACCGTACTTAAGGTATGTTTTATGCAGGAGTTAATAAGAGCTGACAGCTGCTACTGCTGCTTCCTCTTGGATTCACGGCAACACACGTTTCCTTATAGAAAATATACTCCAAAACTGGGGGGTTTGCTGGTGGCAGAGCCCTGGCAGTCCAGCGGGCATGTTTCAGAGGAGAAGACTAATTGATTACACACCCTCTTCGAGCAGATACTACTTCACAATCTCCCGTTTCCACTCAATCAATTGCAAAACCAATTCGGCAAATAATAGGGTTCTATTATGCACATATGCCAGCTATTTAGGTACTTATAATACATGTCAGTTAAGTCATAAAAGCCCTGTTTATTTGCAACATATCTGGAGAATCAAACCATTAGGGTTGAGCGGATATTTAAGTCGTCTGGAGCTGCTAAACAATAAGATCGGGTATCCTAATATATTACCAAGTGCTAACTACTGGGCAATTGCCAATTTTATAACCTCAGTGTATGGAATAGACACAACCGTGTTTCACTGTTTTTATTACAGATCATTTCCTACTGCCAGACCAGACCCCCACAATAAAAGCTCTATAACAGCTAAAAACCAAAAGGCATGTCGATTTTAGATATACATATTGCTTCTTATGCCTTGTATATAGTCTCCAGTATAAACAAATTATTTTGAGTGGCTTGACTTCAGGGAATCGGAAAGTGAAATGGATTCCTATTTCTCTATTATTTTTACTTAGGCACTTTATGCAGCTCATAAAGGCGGTTTCAAATAGTTTGAGAACAGCTCAGAAACAGTTATAAAAGAGTTAGAGGCCCGCTCCTGCTTTCATTGCTATTAATAGGATTTTTTTTTACCATTGATTCTATATAGGAAGGCTTTTTTGTGTATCAGAGGTAGTACAGCAGAGCAAAAAACCATATGCATTTTCCCCCATTATACATAAATATATCACTTATTTCATGTACGATAGTCTATTTGAGTGAAGTATCAAGTTAAAAAAAATATAAACAACAACAACAACAAAAAAGTTAGATTAAAGCAGTGCCACAAAAAAGTTAGATTAAAGCAGTGCCACCAGACAGATCTTCATGACTGGCATTTTTTTCTTGGGTCAAACTCACGGGCTCAGTGGTTCGAGTACACCTTTACCGTGGCTATATTTAGTGACCAGTTTATCAGGTCACTGTCCAGTGAACTGAGAAATTAAACAAGAGGCAGCAATTCCACGAACATCTGATCTTAGTCCAAACTCACTAAAGAGAGAAGGACCCGTGCAATGCTTAAATGCACCTCAGCCCACTCGCTTTGGCCTTTCGGAGCACTCATTACATTAGTTAACCTTTGAAATATGGATTTTCACGTGCTCGGTATTTTTTTTTCCCTTGCAAATTGCTTTTGGGAAGCAAGCTGGCTCCCTTCCCTGCTATGCTGGGAGCTCCTCAGCTTTTCCTCCTACCACTGTTTCCCTGAAAAGGACCGTAGGAACATACCCACCAGCTGGAGCCTGATAACTCTGAACCCATTTTGAGGCTTACCAGGCGGTGTAAGCATATCTATTGCAATTTCATAGCTTCAGAGAGATGTATTCTATCTAGGCTCTGTATCTTCTGTAAATTACCTAATGCTGCCTCAAAAAAGTGTTTGCCATGGAATGAATTATCTCTATCTATATCATATCTATATGTTCATCATGGCTAGAGCTTTTCAGATATAGCCCAGACAGCAGCAGAGATAATGGAACGTGGAGGTTTTGTGGGTGAAGAGATCCGTGTGTGCGGCTGCATGTGTCAAATCCCTGCGTGGATGTAAATAAACCCTAATGCAGGGTGTATTTTTAGCCGATGTCAACTTTCCCAGTTGGTTGGGGATTGCCACAACTGCTGGAGTAAAACAGAATAATACACACGTATCCACGCAGAGTCCCCACCACTCCTGCTTTCACTTCATCCCATTTAGTTCTTGTTATCCCCAGCAGAAACTCTTCGATTTTCTTTCACTCCCAAACTCTATTTGCTGTGTGTATGTGAGCACTCACAAATACATAATTCCCCCTTTTAAAATCCCTGCCTTCTCGCTTGCTTTATATTTCTTTCTTTACCTCCTTTGTCTCTCTTTTCTCCTCTCCTTTCTCCTTTTCCATCCCTTTATCTCTCTTTCCTCCCTCCTTCTTTTTTTCTCCCTCCTTTTTTTCCCCTCTTTCTCCTCCTGCGGTTCCTTCCAGCCTCTTTGTCATTTCTCCCCCTTCCATTTCTCTTCAGCTTATCAATAAACCGGGAGAGCAACAGTAGCCGCTTGATTTGTTAGTAATTATAAGCATACTGTTCCTGCAAACGGGATCTCTAGATGAGTGAGATCGCTTTAAAACGACAGCAGGAAATGGTGGGGAAATGGAGCATGGCGAAACTCAGCGTGAAGCTTTCAGTTCTTTACATGTTTACAATTTTCTGTGCATACATTAAGTCTTAGGGTTCTTTTTTTCTTTTTTTTTTTCTTTTTTTTTGTATGGTGGTTCTCTGTTGAGTTGCTTGCCAAAAACCTGTGAAAATGCTCACAAATGTGAACTCACAGGAGGAAATGGAAATAAAAACCATTTTATGGACACTAAATATAAAGAAATAATAGATTTATGTCCTGAAAATAGCTGAATAATAGGGGTTTAAACTATGGATATTATTGCAATAACCCCGGTGAATAATCTGATAGTCAATCAATCAATCAAATAATCAATCAGAGGAAATGTTTCTTATATTTCTTACTAACAAACATCATGGACAAATTAATTATTGATCAACTGTTAAATTCTTTTAATTTTTTTTATCTGCCTACTGGGCCTGAAATGAGTAGAAAATTCTTTGTCCAGTATAACAACAGGACTTTGCTGTAACTGGTGATTTGATCTGACTCAGTGGCCAAGTCTAAAAAGTCCGGAGCAGCGTCTTACACGCTGGATCTAAAAGACCCGGATCTTATTTTAATTTTAATGAACAAATACGGAAAGTGTGTGTTCATCTGCCATTTCCTCCTGTCCCCCTCGTCTCCTCCTCTCCTCCCTCCCCTCTCCTCCAACCGCAGTCCCTTTCCTCTGCAAGCCGGGACTAAATTTCAAAGTGAAACGTATTCCCTCGAAATTGTTTTGCATTCAATTAAAGGGGATCCTAAGGTTCAGTGGGTAATCCAGGAATGAGCACGAAGCTGAGTGGCAGCAAAGCACCATCTCCGATTCCCAGATCTATCACCTGAAAAGCTGAGGCCAGAGTGGTTTTCAGTTAATCATTTATCCTAAACTTCAAGAGGTGGGGAGGAAAGTCATGTCGTGTTATTTAGAGTTAAAAGCAAAAGGTTAGGACACCTTCTTTCATATGTTTCCCCAAAGTAGTAGGAACGATAGAGTGTGTTTGCAAGGAGACCACGAATTAAGGTGTTCGAGTTAAAATGGCCTTTCATGCTAAATCAGGTGTGAGTGTGCAGGCGATCGTCAGAAAGATCTGTAAGTAAATAAATACATCAGAATAACTTTAAGACTCTGACTGTGCCCCAGAGTCACAAAAAAATTAACTCGGGACTTGGGTCACGAAAGATTTTGCAAGAGGACAACTTCTTTCACCACAGTCTGTGCCAAGCAGATTTCAGATGAGCACTTGACAAGGGAGCTCTATCTTTTATTCCTGACACATGGAAAACTTTCCCTTCATTTCAGCAGAAATCGAGGGAAAGGCCTCCAAACGTGCAGCCGGTAAGCTCTGAAAGCTTAGTTATAACTGGTATTAATGCTCTTGGTGATCATTATTATCATCTTGATGATTTATCTGGCTCCCTCCCTCCCACTTCCACCACCCAAATCTTAATGGAACTAGGAGTTAACGATGATTTTTTAATGTCTCGTTGCATTTTTAGGCTGTTAATGTACCGCATCCTTCTCATTATTAGTTTATTGATTGTTCATTGACCAGCCCCCTTCAAATCGTATTAACCACCCTCTGCCAGTTTAGATTAGGGGAGTTTAAAAAGCACCTTTCATTATTTCCCCGCCACCACCACCACGACCACGGTGGAGTTCAGGCTTGGTAGCTTAATGCTCGCTCTAATGGGGCAGCTAAGAGACGAGGGGCCACGGTCCCTGCCTATTGCATTAATAGCTCAAAGGGGGCTAATACAGAAAATTAGCCTTAAACGAGCTCTGGAGATCTCCAAATGAAAGAGCCATTTATCACGCTGGCTACCTTCACTCCACTCGTTTGCTCTCTCTACTGGGAACAACTCATTTCCTCTTAACTAAATTACTTCAGAAATGTCAAGTAAGCTCAGATAGCAAACATAACAAGAGGCTGGGTATGTGTAATCTATTGTGGGGGATCGATACGTGAGATAAATCAATAGCCGTGTATGAATCCCTATATAATTTCCTTAATAATTTGGCAAAGCTTTTGCATAGATAGATAATTCCCTCTGCAGGCCTGAAAGACCATGAACAGACACAGTCTGGGTGATATAATTAAGTTTAGACTCTAAGTCTCCATCATACTTCTCCCACTGCTTTGTAATTAAAGAATTTTAGGCACTAAACCAGGATTTGGTGAAGTAGACCCCCTCCGAGCCTCGACTGGCAAATATGTATCACGGGAACGTTCCACTGGACAAAAATCAGTCAATACCTTTCTGTCTCTCGATCTATCTGTGCCATCTGCCTGCAATAACGACTCACGGAGTTTAAATAACTTATTCTTCCTTCAAAGTACATCCTCACAGCTACAAACTGCAGGGAACAAAGCGAAATTGATACTGAGCGCTCTCTGTGTTGCTCCTTCTCTCGTCCTGATTAAATATTGACTGCCACAAGTGTGACCTGCTATTTATTACCCATTTCTCTTCCTCGGCACCCAGGAAAATCGCTGGGCGAGAAAATACAATATTCCTTTGCGCTGGGAAGTCTCTTAGAGCTCAGCATTACTTCTAAGGAAGAAAACGCTGCTGCAGTGACTTTTAAACAGTTGCAAACACATCTCAGGGTCTTTTTTAGTAACCTAATTTCTAAAGCGCATATGTCTCCTGCTCATCATGTGTAAACTCAGAGTATCTCTTCTTCTGGCTGCAAATAGGCACATGTAATCCCATATAGACGAGACTGGGTCTCTTTAGGAGGCAGCTGCTCGACCTGGGGCCGCTGCAATGCCCACACATAAGAAGCACACCTAAATATATACCTTACACATATAAAAATCTATACCTGATCCATAGAACTATTGACATTCACATTCTAGTGCTACTCGCTCTCTAACTGTAGCACTGAGCACACACGTGGAATGTCTCTGCTGTCCTCGTCAGCTGAAGAAGGGAGAGACAGAGACGTGTGCGTGTTTAAAATAAATAAATAAATAAATAAATAAAAAGAGTATTTTGAACTGTGTATTCTGTGAAAAACCAGCGCGGAACAACATTGGGAAGGAGTCTCTCGACCACAAATCAAGCACCAATTAATCAAATACACACAAGAGACAACATCATGTATGAGGTGTCAAGTGGGGGTGGGGAAGGGGGAGGAGAGCGAGGAAAAAAAAAAGGTTAAAAATACAACCAGAAACCATCAGGTTACAGACCCTGAGTAGATACTCCATTAAACATTCAAACTGAACCAAAACAGCAGAAATCTTTTTTTTTTTTCCTTTTTAAAGGTAAGTAACTTTCTGTTTCTTAAAAAAGAAAACAAACAAACAAACAAACAAACAACTAAGCAAGCAACCAAAAAAACCCCAAAAAACCTTCGACTTTTCAACCAATAGTGATAAATGGTGCTGCCAAAGGGTCTTCAAGTTTTCATCTGTCCTCCCTCAAACAACTAGACCTTGATCGTGTGTGTGAAAGAGAGACCGTACATGAAGATTTAAATTAAAAACAAAAACAAAAACAAAAAACCAAGCAAACAGCAAAACAAACCATAAATACACGGAAGGACCTCGTGCAGCCTTCAACACGTTTTAAGCAAACACCCTCCGCGTTATTTTGCTTTACATCCTACAAGATCATCGCTATTAAACCATTTGTGAGCATTTGACAAATAACAAGGTCCTGGAGATAAGTGCTGCTGATAGTAAGCATAAGGGACAGCATTTCTAAGCCTCATCTCTGGTACTTAAAATTGAATCTAGAAATAGAAACTCCTTAGATAATTAAAGATAGCTTTCCCTCCATTTGCAGCGTGTGATCTGTTTAATGTCTATCAGCATAACACAACACTAATCGCCGAGCATCTTCCAGGGACTGTCAGAGAAATGTAAAAAAATTAAGCAGCTGCAATACGCCCAAAATGAGTTATTGTAATTACATTTAATTAGTTTAATTAGTTAATTATTTTGCTTACAGCTGTACAAGAGACTGCAAACATTTGTTAATATCACATTCCCTTTAACAGTATGGGGTGATTCTGCAGTTACACTAAATCATGGGCGCATATGTAGAAAGATGTAAAAAATGGGCATGGGGAAGGGGGGAACCTTGGAGGAAGGGGGAAGGGAGGAATCTTGGAGGAAGCAGGGAAGGGGGCCGGGGCTGCCTTTCCATGGGCATCTCTTTCTCTCCACGTTTTATTCGCCTGTGAAATGCATTTAAGCCCCAAAGGGAATCAACCACCTTCCTCTATTAAAAGCCGAGGGGTTCCCATCGAAGACTCTCGAGGTGAGGGGGGAAAAGAGGAGAGGAGAGCCCACGGAAACTGCATTCGAGCATGGGGTGCTCCATTAGAGAGCATTTGTGTCACTAAACCCTTTGAAGGACGGGGGAGGCGGGGATATAAACTTTTCTGTTCACATATCTTATGCCCTCACTCTATCTGCTGATCCAATCAACTATTCATCTTGCTGCCATGTATTCCTGCTTCCCGGAGAAATTAATTGCCCCAAAGTCAAAATATATCATGAAGATATTGCTACACAGTAAAAGTTTGTCTAGCTTGTTGGAATAATCCATACCTTTTTTAATGACAGACTGGTCCAATAAGTTCATACCGCTGTTATTGGCATCTTCAACTGACTGTGGATATAAAAACATCACTATTCAAATTGACTGGATATTAAAGAATCGCGTACATAAATCATGTCATTCCAAACTGGAGTTCCTGTTATTTCCATTTATATTAATTCACTAGGGGAGGGAGAATTTTTCTTTTACTATTATTATTGTTGTTATTATTATTTCCCCAAATCGAGAAGAAAATGAAATTCTTACAAATTATATAGTCTTCTAATAAAACAAAAAGAGGTGTGAAGCATATGGGGCGCAATAGTGGTTTTGTTATCTTATAAAACATAGATATCACATAGACTTCTTTGCATTCCATAAAGCTTTATATTTCTTCCTTTGAAAATGTGGCAATTTGGCAACATCTGCAAGATCTATTGCATGACATAAATGAACACGATTAAGGACAACTTAAATGCTCCCTCCCCTTTCCTTCCCCTCCTCCTTTTTCTTTTTGTTTTTTGTTTGTTTGTTTAACCCTGCTACATCTTAATAATTCAAGGGCCATTTACTTTTTATATATCATAGTTTACATTATGGACTTTTAATTAAAGCCTGAGCCTTTCGGAGCGCAGCGCAACGCCCACATTGTACAGGGGACGGGCAGAAAGAGATTTACAGCTCTCGAGGTTGCTTCCATGTCCTGAATTAGTGGGGACGGGGAGGGAGGAGCGGGAATATACATTATCAAAAGTATGAACCACCAAATTGATCGCCTAGGAAAAAAGGTCCCGATTTCAAAGCCGTGTTTTCACACTTTCCCCCTTCTTTTCAGCCCGCTGAGGAGCACACCTGTTATTACGGCATTAACTTCTTTGGCAGGGAAGAGAACAAAGACGGGCACAGAGGACACAGCAAATGTTGCGTTTCATTTCTCAACACGAAAGTGGGATATATATATATATAAAAAAACCAAACAAAACAACTAAAACTACCGCTGAATCTGCGTCCGGCAGAGTAAAATCATCTCCCAAAGAGATGAGATGTCATAAGAGTAATTTACTGCAGAATTCCGACAGGTTCCATTTTACGGTCGATTCTAGAGAAAGGAGGGACCTGTGAGTTTCTTGACTTTGTTATTTTATTTTTCTCATTATTATTTAGGGTTTAGGGGTTTCGATGTTATTGTATGTTTGGGTTGTTGTCACATTTTTCCTTGATAAGGAAAACACCTTCACAGCAAAGCAATGATTTTCGTCACTATTATTTTAACTTTATCTTTGCTACACCGAGAGGCTGAGCTTATCCGGATCTAGCCCTTATCTCCATCTCTGTGCTCAGCGGAGACATTCCAGATGGAATATGATTTAGGAGAAAATTACATCTCCCCAAAACGTGACGGAACAATATTTTCTACGAGAGCTTTCCTTTCATTTTCCTTGAATACACCCTCCAACGAGCCTACATACACACGCAGAGGGTTGCCTTATGTGATGTGTTTGGGCATGGCTGTGTCTCTCTCTCATAATCAATAGGCTACATACCTAAAGGGCACAAAATAAAATTACAAAGTCTTCCCTCCTTTCCCTGAGCAGCTCCCGACGAGGGATGATGAGCAAATCCTGCAGCCTGCTGGAGTGCAGCGTGGCGCACCTCGATGGCACAGAATTGGAGGTAAACATGAAAAACACCACCTTCCCTTTTATTTTTTTCCATCTTTCCTCCTGATCTCGCCCTATCTCTGGAGTCGATGGTTGTGCACACCCTTTATGCGTGTGCATGCACTCCGCTCGCTCCATCAGCAACGTGGGTTAGTTGTTGTAGTTAATGAGAAGACTCCTGTCTGATTTTCTATCTAATTACGCCCTCCTGCTGGGTTTTTGTACAGGATATTCGCTCAGCATGCTGGCAGTTAATAGTCACAGAGAGGATCGTAAAGATTTAATTAGGACTGCATGCGGAAACGTGGAAAAACAACTCAGACTTTTAATTACTAGACTTCTTTAGTTAAAAGTGATACCAGGGGTTACTTTATAAGAGACTTGGGTGTTTTGGTGCAACTTAACTTTCCTTGTCTCTAGCTGGCACGTAGTAGCAGCGTGAGTGAGGAGGAGGAGCGGAGGTGTGTGTGCAGGGAGGGGAAAGGTGATGAGTTTCCAGATGTACTTGGAAAATCTGGAGGGGAAGATTCCCTTCCCTTCCCTCCTCCAATAATCTGATAGCATGGAGCTTCCTGAATACTATCTATAATCACATTATTCAACAGCTATGGACATATCTGAGAGAAAACCTGAAAAATCCGGCCTTTATTTTCCTTCAAAGAGTCTGAATATTTCCTTCATTGTATCTTTTACCACTATAACCCTACTTTTGCCCAGCCGATGGGGAGAAAAAAATATCTGGGGTTGCAATGGTGGGTTTTTATTTTTTTTTCAGAGTCCCTATTAGATGATGCAAATTTTTTTTCAATAAGTAGGTCTTGGTTTCTCTGTTCCCTGTCTGAAGGCTGTAAATCGCAGATTGAAAATTCCTCTCGAAAGGGGCAGCAATAGCAATACAATATGTCCTGTTTACAATAACAGAGCGCTATCATGTTACAATCACTTAATTCTAGCCCCGGACAATGGCTCACACATGGCCTGGATTTGGTGTTTATAAAATAACCACTGTTTCTTTCTGTCACGCACTCTCTTTCTCCGTCTCCTCCTCAGCCCAGCCCATCCTCATGGCACATATTTGATAAGACATGCATAAGCTAAAGCAAAGAGTAACATCTTTATCCAACTCTATATCTAGATATCGGTTCAACTTTCTGAACTATTAAAAAAATAATACTTGAAATCCTTCTGGGAAATTCTATCTAGTGATGGCGGATAATAAGTATATGTGGTCTAAATAAAAATCCCTGTAGCTAGAATGGACTCCTCGAATCTAGAATAAATCCATACTGAATATCAGGATGGAAAAGTGCCCAATTTCATCTGTCACTAGTGGAGGGACAAGAATAGAAAATGCTGAGCGGTAGAAGCGAGTTCTGGGCTACTTTCCCTCCTGCCTGTGTTGACTTGCAGTTGGACACCTCTTCCTTCATGTGTTTCTCCCTGGGACACCCTCCTCCCCCCAACCTGAGACCAAACTTACAGGAATAAAGGGTCTGTTTAATTTCCTACTGTCTCAGTACCCCAAAACAAGGACTCCAGCTCTGCTGGTCCACAGCTTCGCCTGCCCCATCCTACCTCGATCCCACCCCATCCCACCCCCCCGGCCCGGCCAGCCCGGGTGAGCAGGTCGGGGATGGCCGCGGGTCGTCACCGCTGCGCTCGGAGGCATCGAGGGGAGGCAATTGCCACCAGTACTGTACCCTGTCCGCAGAACGGATGTTTTATTGGAAAAGAGATGGAGAGTTGCTTCATTTGAGCTCCTCTTTCCCTATTATTTCTGCTCTTTCTTTCCTTTTTTTTCCTTCTTTATGTCTGCCTCTCTTCCTTTCCATATCTTTCCATTCCTTTCCCTCTCTCCTTCCTCTACCTTTTCTTTTTTTTCTGCGTTTTATCTTTCTCTTCTCTTCTTTTTACCTCTTTTCTTTACCTTCCCTCTTTTCTGTTTTTCTCTTTTTTTTTTTTTTTTTTTTTTTTTTTTTTTTTTTTTTTTTTTTTTCACAAAAGCACAACAATTACCGGCTTTTCTTCGGGGAAAGTGTAAATATCAAAGCACAAACAGCATTCAACGCCTATCGGCTGCAGAGAGAAAGGAGAGCGATCTCCTTCCCGCATTCACAGAGGTAAAACTCGCCTTGACTTGCAGACCAGTTTGTCTGAGCCAGGAATGCGAGACGAGACTTGCGCATCGCGCCCGTGGGGGTCAGGGGTTGCCCCCAGGTCTCAAAGCCACCTTGGAAACCTGCAGGAACCAGCGACCCGACGGTCACTGAGCTCGGAGGCAGGAGCAAATCCAAACATCAAAACCTTTCTATTTCTAAAGCATCTCGACCCAGCAAAGACCGGGGATTTTCCCGTGAAGCCCTAAAACAAGCCAAGCCACAAGCCAAAGCAATACATCCCCTCCGCTTCCCTGCCGCTGATTCCTATAATGTTCAGCACATCCTTTTTCACGGCTACTTTTTTTTCTTCCCAGGCTCCTCTTTTTTCCTTTCTTTTTCCCTTTCTGTAACTTTGTCGTCCGTATTTCATCCAATGATTCTTTTCTTTATTTATTCCAAGACTAAATACATGTGTCATATATACATATGTGTGTGCATATATATATATTTATATATATATATAATATATGATATAGAAATTCTGGGGGAAAAAAAAAAACAACTAAAAAGAATGGAAGAGAACCCCCAAAATCCCGATTAGTAAAGACTAATGCAGGACTTGGCCCCTGGAGGCTTCAGCCTCGGGCTCGGGGGTCCCCACGGGCTGTGCATGCCCAGCTCCAGCAAGGTGCAAACCAGCCCAGCACCGAAGCTGTTAAGGGCCTTTCTGTTTTTAGGAAATAACACGTGATGATGAGTTTCGCGTGGGATGGAAGAAAGCTGGGAAATACTGTGCTTTGAGCCCGGCGAAACTCCTTTGTTACCCAAAAGAGAGAATAAAACTATTTAAAATCAGTGCTGCCTTACCCAACCACACTTAAAAAAATAAGGAGGGAGTGGGGGGGGATGGACACCGGACTTGTTTCTGATTACCAGTTATTGCTTTGGGTTTGGGTTTTGTTTATATTTTGCCTCCCTCCCGGACGAAAAATGTAGTAATTCGACAGTTTCATCAAAATCCCTGAACGACAGGAAATTGATTGGGGGGGGGAAGGGGGTGGAAGCTGAGATTGCATGGGAAACTGGAATTTGAAAAGCCAGGCTTGAACTCTGCCAGCTTTTGAAACACGTGGAATATTTGGAGCAGCATGTCCGCCTTCCCCCTGCACTCTGCTGGCTTGCCATGTAGGGGAGGGTTTATAGAGCACAGCCTGTGCGTGACAGCAAGGAAATAAATTCTCTTATAAAAAAAAATATAGAAAAATAGAGAGAGAGGGAGGGGGAGTACCACAGTTATAATCCCAGAACGGAAAAAAAGAATGGCAACCCACAGCAATATCGCTGGAAATCCCTCACTGATCATTCCCAGCCCAGGCATGGGGGCTCCAGCTGCATTGCCCAGGAGAAAGGAACGCGGTGCCTTACCTGGACCTCCTCCATCCCTGGGTGTCCGATGCCATGTAGAGAAAGGCTGTCCCCCATGCCGGAGTCAAGGCCATGGTGAGCTGAGTGCAGGAGGACATCTGGCCTCCTTACTGAGTGGTAGTCCCGCCTGGGGTCCAGTCCCGAGAGCTGGGGCAGGGCGGCCCGAGGCTGTGGCAGCAGTGACCCGGTTTCTGATCCCACCTCTTGCCTCTGCCTCTGTCCCCAGGGGTGCTGCTGGGGCTGATGCAAGGGGTTTAGGGAGTAGGGGTCATTGACATGGGAGTAAGGGTCCTGGCTTTGGTGGTAAGGAAGAGGCTGGTAGGGGGGTGGGAAATAAGGCGGCTGGAAATCCGAGGATGGGGTGTGAGAGAGCGGAGGAGCGCTGGAGTAGGGTCCCTGCGAGACGGATCCCAGCTGGGACAGCCTGGAACTGTGGCTGGGCACTCCATCATGCCGGTCCTACAGGCGGAATGACATAAAAACAACAACAAAAAAAGAAGACCTTTAAAAAAAAATAAAAGGAGCAGAACCCATCCCAAAATAAAATAAAATAAAACCGTAAACAGTTGGAAACTGGAATTCAGATGTGCCCCTTTCCCCTGTCACGTATTAGAAATGTTACTGTGTTTCGTACCCACATTGTGTCTGTTCCCGGTAACCATCAAGAAGGGGGAAGGGGGCGGGGGGTATGAGGGAGAATTGCTAAATGTCAAAATTAAAACTGTAGGACTAGTGCTCCTTATGCATATGTGATCTGCAATTTCAGTTCAGTAATATAATTCTCCATCCACAGCCCCCCAAATCAAACCAAAGGTAAAAAAAAAAAAATAAAAAAAAATTAAGAGCCTCACACCACCCATCCATCCAAACAACCCACTCTTTCCCCTGCCTAAAGTTTCCAAACGTTTGTTTATTCCCATTGCTGAAGTCCTCAAAATCACCAACCCATTTTCACGTGGAAAAGCCCAAAAAGAAAGTTGCACTTCTCGGAGGACTCCGAGGTGAGAAGTTGTGCAAAAAAAGGACGTGGGGGGAAAAAAAAAAAAAAGAAACTCAAAATAAAACCCACGCGGGATCTTTGCTTAAAGAGAGTCTACCCCTTAAAAAATAAATTAAAAAAAATCAAACAAAATAAAAATGAAACATCGACATTGAACAAATCCAGTCGCTATGATTTCTGCAGCAACTTCCAGTGTCTTTTGTTTCCTTTTCCAGTATTGTATTCCGGAGTATGGGGTGGGGGTTAATTGTAATGAAAAGTCTTTGGGGTGTGTGGAGGGGACGGGGGGGACGGGGGGGGGGGAGAAATGTGTAGAGGCTTCAGAGAAAAGGTGGGAGAGGAGTTTTGTCCAACTCCCTCGCACTGAAGCTGCGAGGCTAAAGTAAACAACAAAAATATCTATTCCACAAAGTGTAGCTCAAACCCCCACAAGCAGTGGCACACATGGTTAAAAAAAAAAAAAAAAAAAAAGGAAAAAAAGTTCTTTTTCCCCCTACTCTCCCCCCAGACTCCCCTCGCTCAAATCGGGAACACACAATGCAAAAAGGGAGAAGCAGCTGCAAGCCTCCTCCAATTATTGTGCTAAATTACCAAGCCAAAGGCGTTTAAAAAGAGAGAGAGAGGGAGAGAGAGAGACAACAGATCGAGAGAGAGAGAGAGAACATGCAATTCTAGTACAACATGGATCCAAACTCACCATGGCGGAATAGGTGTGGACTAACATCTGGAAATAAAAAAAGTCTTGTAATAGCTAAAAATAAAATAATGGTGATAATACTAATAACTGGAGGGAAAAATATCAGGGAGATCTGCACAGGGACGTGTTGGACACAGGAGAACAGCTTGAGATATTTCGAAGTCTATCCATCAAAAAAAAAAAAAAAGAGGTAAAAAAAAAAAAAAAAAAAAAAAAGACCAATGCCCCCAAAACCGAGCCTGGAAACCTCTATCTACATATATGATTTACCCCTCCCTCTCAGATTTTTTTTTTCCTCCTTTTTTTTTTTTTTTTTTTTTTTTTTTTTTTTTTTTTTTGCCTTTGAGCTCCCAAATACAATCCTCTTCAACCCAAGGCTAGGCTCAGACTGCTCCTCTACCCCTTCCTCCCTTTCCTTCTCTACACCGCCTCATAATAATTGATATTCATGACTATTAATATTACACGACTACTTTAAAGGGAGAATGCAGGACCAAATGGAGCGTGAAGCTGGCAGCCAGCTCGAGAGCTCCCCTACTATTGTAAATGACGTTCATTCAGTGGAGAATTACTAGATGTAATCAGACGAGGGGGGCTGGCAGAGGCAGAGTTTGGGGAGAGGGAGAGGGGGGAAAAAGTTTAGCAAGGAAGAGGCAGAACTTCAATTAACTCGAGCGGAGGAAGATGCGGAAAGTAGACACTGCTGAGCTGGAGCAAGGAAGTGAGATGAAGCAATGCTAGAGGCGAAGAAGAAAAGCATATTCCCTTTTTTTTCTTTAAATATATATTTAATTATACATTCTTAATAGGAGGAATTGATTGCCTTTGGTGCTTTTGTTCTTTTAGTTTGTTGTTGATTTTTTTTTTTAACAAATAATGAAGAAAAAGAGGCTTTTCTAATCCTTTTTTTTTGTTGTTATTTTTAAAGAAATGGAAGAAGATCTGTGCAGTCACTGTAATAGATGCCTATTTACAGCGAAGATTAAGCCCTTCTGGTGCGTGTTACAGATCGTATTTATTCGCAATAGGCAAATAAATACTTGAATCTACGTTGTTTGGCTCATTTTTTTTTCCTGAATCCTATTTCTACAGCTCGATACGAAAAAAAAGTATAAATGTACATAGATCTCCCGATTTTCACCCAAATGCGAAATGTATGGAGTGAATTTTAAAGGATAGTAAATCTATAGTTTTGAGGCAAAGCCAGGGGCGATATAAAACCTTTTTGATGTTGCAGGAACCCGTTCAACTGGACTGTCTGCCATTTCTGTTAAAGTTCAACTTACGTTCCTTCCTAAATAGACTCACACTTCCCAGAGCAGCCTCCCCCCCCCGCACATACACGCACACACACACTTTTGTTTTAAGAACAGAATCATTTTAAGTGGCTGAGACGCCTCTACCATCGTGTTGTTAATTATAAATCGGAAAGAAGAGAGGGAAATATTTTTTTTAAGACAAATCTAGAGGGTTTCAGCGCTTAAAAAAAAAATCGACAACAATTTTTTTTTTTTTTCTAATGCTGCACGTTACAAGATGCCTCGGAGCGCACCCCCAAGTTCGGGAATACCCAGCCCGCAGCCAAATCCCCCCTAATCGCTCCCCCAACTCAGCTTCTCTCCCACGGCAACCTACAAACACGAGTGTTCGTCAATTCATTGCGCTTTTAAAAATCCCTCTGAAAAGGAGGGTGGAATAAAACCCCTCATCCCCGACCGCGGCAGCCGGGGAGGGGAGATGTTTTGTCGCCTGCTGCTGCGGGCAGAGACAATGGCCGGGCTGTGCCTGGGGATGGGGAGGGAAAAGCAGCGAGGGTTCCACGGGCTGGGGACACACGGGGACACACACACGGGGACCGACACACACTCACACACACTCTCTCTCTCTCACACACACACACACACACACACACACACACACACACGTGCTCGTTCTGCGCTCGTTCTGCAGATGCCGGGTTTTGCCAAGGATAATTATCCTGACGGCAGCTTTTGGGAATGGAGACATTTCTTCCGTGCGGCTGCCGGATCCCCTCCCCGATTCGCTCCATCCCGTCCTTCCTCCGGCCGGGAACAGCCGGAGCTGTACCTTCCCCTCGATCTCTTTCTCCGCTTTTCCCGGGAGTTTCCCCTCTGTAAGTGCCGGAGGGGAGGGATGCGGGGACGGGGCGGCCCCGACCGTGCTTCCCTGGAGGGGCTGCGGCCACTGCCCGGTACCCTGAGCCCTGTCCGTCCCCTGTCCGTCCCCTGTCCCGTCCCCTGTCCGTCCCTTGCCCAGGACACGTCCCCTAGCCGGTCCCTGCCCAGCCCCTGCCCAGTACCCAGCCCCGCGCTCAGTGCCCTGTGTCTGCTCGGTACCCAGTTCCTGCCGGTTCCCCCATACCTGTTCGATTCCCAGACCCTGCCCAGCCCCTGCCCGGTTCCTGCCCAACCCCTGCGCACTCCCTGGTCCCTGCTCAGTGCCCAGTCCCTCCCCGGCCCCTATTTGGTTCCCGGTCCCTTCTCGATCCCCGGTCTCTGCTCGATCTCCAGCCCCTGCCCAGTCCCTGCCCATCTCTGACCAGTCCCTGCCCGGTCCCTACCGGGTCCCTGCCGGGCGCCTGGTCCCTCCTCAGCTCCCAGTCCCTCCCTGGCCCCTGTCCGCTCCCCAGTCCCTGCCCTGTCCCCGGTTCTTTCCCAGTCCCCGGTTCCTTCCCGGCCGCCTCTCCACGGAGCAGCTCCCGCTCTGGAGCTGGCGAATTGCTCCCTTCTGAAAATCACTCCCCCCCTCCGAGATCGCCGAACCAACGCCTTCCCCTCAATTAAAAAATAAAAATTATGAAAAAAAAAAAAAGATTTTGTGGAGTGCCATTCCTCTTTTACATACACGTTTCCCCAACCCCGCTTCTGAGCAAATCCCGCACGCTGGTTTAACTTACAAGAAATACACTCCCGCAGCCCGTTTGGGAAAGATCCGGCTCAGGAAACCGTGAAAAATTAAGAAAGGTTTCGCGGTGTTTGAGCTGTGATTTTTAACCCCCCACCGCCCTTGGTTTGCTTTTTGACCTCGAAAATAAGGTCTGAATAAAGCTCACAACTTTTCGTGCCCGCGGACTGTGCGGAGCTGCCTTTGACTGTATCGGTTCGGGTGCGTGTGCTCACATACGTGCGAGAATGTATGTGCCGCTTAATTAATGCGAGTATATGTATACATGCACATCTTATCTATTGCTATAGAGGCACAGAAAGTCGTAAAAAACGTATCCGATTCTGAAAACAAGAAAAGGGAACAAAAAAAAAAATCCACATTCAGGTTGAGCTTAGCTTGGAATTGCAAAATAAAAAATAAAAGAATGAAATGCATCCGGTCCCTGAATACCAGATTGTGTTTTTCTTCTATTTTCTTTTTTTTTTTCCTCGACATTTGTCCATATTTAATCGAATTATATCTAATTAGAGGTCTAAACAATCAAACTCTTGCCTTTAAGTTGCCTCATTCCAACCCCCAGATCATTTCTTTGATGTTTTAAATCGCATCAAACAGCTTTTCCATGAAAAAAAAAAAAAAGTTTAAGACTTGGCATGCTGAATACAAATATGCAAATAAATAAGCATTTAAGCATTTACTCTTGGTTTCCCGTCTCTATACTTGTGTGTGTTGGTGTATGTCTCTATTTCTGCCTAGATGTATATGTAGAGATATATATGTATTATAAAGTCATGCCTGTATCTATATACTAGATGTATATTTAAATATACATATACTCTCTTACTTATATGCATGTTATATACTCACCTCATAGATATCTTCATACTTGACATTTTCAACCAGTTTCCAGAGCATGATGGCAGGCTGTTCTCTAGGAGGTGAGTGCATTCATGTGAAGAGCAGATGTCTGGATTCTCAGTACTTCTCTGTCTGTAATGATCCATCTATAATTGGAAATGGGGGACAGACACCAAATCCGACGTTCCTCTTCCATCGCAACTTATATCTGTTGTCTGAAACAATAGGCTGCACAAGTCTACCTCAATGGGATAGTAAAAAACATTATCTGTTACATAGTTACATATAGCTACAGACATATATGTGACTAGATATAGACATATACACATATAGAGACTTATATGCAGCATATAAAATATATACATATACAGAGTTGCACATACACAGACTACACATACATGCACATATACACGCATAAATCTCTGAACGGACAACTTTTTTCCACGTATAGACATATTAATTGCCACATTTAGGTATGTAAATTATATATATTTTTGCACACATAGGTACATGGATGCTACACTTTATATATGCACATATGCACACAAGCCTGGCCAGTTTATATAGGAGTGTGTTTAAATGCATATTTGTGTATCTAATTATACATTTACACATATATATGTTGATATAGAGGGATTAAATAAATGTATTATGTAGTGTATATATCTGCTATTTTAGTAGATGGATGGATAGATAGATAGATGGATAGATAGATAGATAGAATGGAGAAATTAAATGAATATATTTTCGATCCTCCCTAGAATAAAATAAAGAATAATTTGCCTCTGCACTAAGCGATTCATCATTTGCAAAGAGATATTATGCTTTTCCCCCCATGCAATATGCTTTTATTTACATGTCCAGAAATTATCTTCTCATATGCAGTTAAACACCAAAACAGCGTCTCATCAAAGCACATTCAAGCAAATCTAAAAGGAGTAAATTTAGATCAATGTTTTCCACTGGAAAGACTTATACTTTTAGTCTTGGACTGTATATTTTATAACTTAAAAATACTTTATATGGGGGGAAAAAAGGCGGGGGGGAAGGAGTTTAGTAAACCCTTCACTGCACGTATTTGAATAGCGATTACTACTTTCAGAAAACGATTAAAACCAGAGTTGGATTTGTGCATTTCCCGGACAGCACTCGGTTTGGAAGGGGAGAGGAGGAGTTGGACCAGTTTTTTAACCTTTTTTTTTTTTTTTTTTTTTTTTTTTTTTTTTTTTTTTTTTCCCCAGGAGAACCTTCCTTCTCATTGTCCGATTTTTTTAACACGTTGAACGGCAAAGAGCCGGCACAGGCGGCAGAGCCCATCTCTGCCTTTGAAAGGAAACAATCGAGCTTTGCAGTGGGCTGGTGCACCAGGAGGGGGAAAAAAGAGACACAGAGGCAGAGAGACAGAGAGAAAGAAGGTGTTTCTAAATTCAAGGTCCTGTCTCTGGAAATTTCAAGCCCTGCCTATAAGGTTCCTACAAATCTTTGTTGTTCTGCATGGGATCCTATGGGAAAGTGCACAGTGTCCTTTGTACTTTCAAAGGTCCTACAGGTAAAGACGCTTTTATATATATATGTATAATCTCGGAAACGAAGAGAACTTTGTCAGGAGACACATTTGCTGGTGCGTGGTTGGCTGATGGGAAGGGTGGGCTTTGCTTTTTCTGTTCGCTTTGGCCTCAAATTAAGGCAGAAAGTATAAATTCATCTCTTTTCCCCTCAGTCTCTGCACCACCCCGCCACCCCTCCCCATTTCACTGTGTACATCTTCTTCTAAAACCTCAACCCACAAAAGGCAAGAGGCAAATAACAGCCAGATATTACAGCAGGAGCTGGACAACGGTCTTGCTGGAAGTTCTTTAGGCAGATACGAGTTTTTCCTTAGCACAGCCAGTGCTGCACTGAGGAGAAGGAGAGCACATCACTGGGTGGGCTGGACTGCTCATTTCAACTGAAGCAATAGAGTAAAAAATGCTGAAAAAAGAGAGAGGATGTGCGCTGTTTGCATGTGGGTGTGCGGAGATACCCAGGCAGACACCCTTATCCACCTAGAGATCTGAATGACCCTCTTAGAAAAATGCCAAGCTCATAAAAGGACAGTTTGCCATCACTTTTGTTAAAGTCTTTGAGTCATGAAGGCTGGCACAGGGCAGAGTGAATGTGCTTCGTGACGGCTAATGCTTTACAATTTCGTGGCACCCTGAATTAAATATGCTCTGAGTGCTGGGGGAGGGGAGAGGAGAGGAGTGGAAAAAAAAAAGAAGCTAAAATAGACTTGACGTCCACTGTCTCTTAGCAAACAGATTGGTATAGACAGTAATTCTGGCTTTCAAACCCCACTATTATTACATTTCTCTTGCATTTGAAAACAAACGAACAAGAGATCATTTAGAAAATCAAACTGAACAAAGGTTCTTCGCAATTTTTTCTCGCTTGTTTGGTACCCCTCACCCCCGCAGCTGCCTCCAGTCTAATTCAGCAATTCCAAACAGCGACACTAGCACCGGTTTATACCTCAAATGTGCAACGAGCGCTGAGTCCAAGAGGCGACACACGTATTCAGAACTGACCATTATAACCTATATTTCCAAAACTAGCAAAATAAAAGGTGAAAAACAGCCGTTTTCTGGCAGTTTGGGGCGTGTTTTTCCAACCTCTTCCAAGGAAAACCCCGTTTTTTTCAGCGGTGAGCTGAGCAGGGGCACTGCAGCCTCAGCCTGGCAGCTGCGATGGCAAAGGAATATTTTATACTTTTTTTTTTTTTTAAAGGATACCATTACATCTGGCCCTGCCCATGCCGGAGGAAGCCCCCCCAGCCCCCCGCACCGTTCCAGCTCTGGTGGTGCGGGCGATGGCCCCACGGGAGCCGGGAGCGCCGGAGCGCGATGAGCGGGACAGCGGCGCCCTCTGATGGGGACTCCCTTCCCTCAGCAGCTGCTCCCGAAATCCGATTCACCTCCGGCCCTTATAGCATGGAATGGTTTGAGTAAGAAGGGACCTTAAATATCATCTGGTTCCAACCTCCCGTCCACGGGTAGGGACACCCTCCACTAGCCCAGGATGCTCCAAACCCCGTCCGACGTGGCCTTGGACACTTCCAGGTATGGGGTAGCCACAGCTTCTCTGGGAATCCTGTGCCAGGATGTCACCACCCTCACAGGGAAGTATTTCTTCCTAATATCTCATCTAAACCTGCCCTTTTTCAGTGTAAAGCCATTCCCCCTCGTCCCATGCCCTTGTCCAAAGTCCCTCTCCAGCTCTCTTAGAGCCCCTTTAGGCACTGGAAGAGGCTTTCGGGTCTCCTTGGAGCCTCGTCTTCTCTAGGCTGAACAACCCCAATTCTCTCAGCCTGTCTCCAGAGCAGTGTCTCCATCCCTCTGAGCATCTTTGTGGACTCCTCTGGACTGATCCAAGAGATCCATGTCCATAACTGGGATTTTACAATTTCTGCTGGAAATTGTGTTGTTATGAGGGTTTCCCCCATAAGGATGAAATTACAATTTCTTATTTACACCGATTTTTAATTAACAGGCCACTCAGCATTTGAATCCCTACCTTATAATTAGAATGAATCTTTCATACCCCACTGCTAAATACATTCAATATTACTCACCGTAGGATGGTTAGAATACAGACTAGGTCAAATATCCCAATCACCCCAGTGAAATAACTGTTGATAGCTTGGGGAGAGAGAGGACCTGCAACAATGTGATGGTCACTTTGGTGAGAAGTCGAAAAAAAATCTGATTTTAGTGAACAAGTTATGCTGCCCTCATTTCATACCCTGTTTCCAAGATTATTGTTTTGGTTGTTTTATTTTTTTCTCTTTTTTAACTTTTCCTGTCCTTAGTCAAGGCTCTGTTTCAGAAATGGACTTTCAGTCCTGATCTGCCTTTTAAATCCAGCGTGGATCTCTATAAATAATCTCTGTCTTCCTCAGTATCCAGCTCCCAGCGCATCTATGTTGTTGGCTGGAATTTAAAACAAATCCGTTTATCCCAGCGCCCTCTGCTGCTCGCTGCTCTCATGTAAAGACAGGTTTCCGAGGTCTAGCAAAAGCCTTCAAACTATCTCTTCCCTCCCCGACAATTTTCTTCCACATGTTCTCACATGTATTTCAGAATTCAGTAATTTTTATTAAAAAGCTTTTCAATTTAATTCACAGGGGGAAAATCACATAACATTGCAGGTATCTCAAAATGTAGCTTAAAATTTACTGCCTGCTAATTGATGGATTTACAAAATCATTGCTTTGGTGACCATTTCATACCTTTTTTTTTTTTTTTTCTTCTCTTAAAAATCCAACTTCCTATATTTTTTTTGGTAAATTAAGTTTCCCTACCACCTCTGCAGACATAATAAGGGTTTTTCATAGAATCATACAATTGCAGGATCATAGAATCATTTGAGTTGGAAGGGGACATTAAAGGTCATCTACTTCAACCCCCTTCAGCGAGACACTTTCAACTAGATGAGATTGCTCAAAGCCTCATCCAACCTGACCTTGAAGGTTTCCAGGAATGGGACACCTACAACCTCTCTGGGTAACCTGTGCCCAGTGTTTCACCATCCTCATTGTAAAATTCCTTCCTTATATCTAGTCTGAACCTAACCTTTTTTTTTTGGTTTATAACCATGAACCTTTTACCAGTCCCTGCTAAAAATTCTGTCCCCATCATTTGACATTTTCCCAAACCCACCAGTGCTCATTCTTCAATGAGGAACATCACCAAACCCAGCAGAGAGAAAGATATCAGGAGCAGCTTTTAGCAAGTCAGGAAAGCTCAGCCACATGTGTTGAGCCCCTATGGGCAGGTCCAAACAGTTTGCCACAATTAACAACCCCAGCTCTCTCAGCTGCTCCTCATAGGACTAGTTCTCTAGGCCCTTCACCAGCTTTATTGCCCTTCTCTGGACACACTCCAGCACCTTCTTGTGGTGAGGGGCCCAAAACTGAACACACTGATTTGTCTAACCATGGTAAAAAATCAGCTCAAATGCCACTCAGTTGCCTCCAGTATTCTCCAGGTTTTGACAGCAGGAATCCCTATTTGTGAGCCCACACATTCCGGCTCATATCCAGTGTTACGCAGTCTAGTTCTCCCAGAACAAGCCTCACACATCCTGTGGGCTGTTTGGAAAAGGGAGCCCCTCCAAGTGTTTTCTGTGTTACTGGACTGAGAATTACTCTTGTATCCAAGTTTACTTTTGTTTGCAATTCATGTCTC